GAGTGGACTCGGGAACAGCTTGTAGAGCTTGCCCACGGGCTCCCAGCAGCAACCTGGCCCACCCTGAGCCCCGGCACAGGCTTCCCCCGCCCACCTGTCTTCCTGGGCAGAGGGACCCACCTGGCTGGGCCAACAAGGCAGCAGGTGATCCAAGTGCCCCAACACTGGAGGCTGGCCAGAGCCGCTGCCCCTCCTGGAGCAGATCAGCTTGGGGTCTGGCATCCCGCTGAGGTCTGTCCCACCCACTGACAGGGGAGGCCACATGGCTCAGTGGACCCCACATGGCTGGGGACTGAATCACGACTGGGCGAGTGTGTCCAAAGTGTCCTGTTTCAGAGTGGGGCGGAGACACAGCAAGGTTAGGGGCCTGACTGGTGGGTCACCATGGCCTCCGGGGTGGGGCCTACAGGTCAGGGGTGAAGGAAGCCTGTAGTCGGGCTGGCTGAGTCCCAGCCTGGCCATTCCCCATGCTGGTACAGGGGCACCCTAACTCCCACTCCATCCACAGCCCTTGCTCAGGAGCCTCCGCCCCATGTGCTCACAGCCCACCCGCCCCCACCCCAGGCATGGGGTCCTACAGAAGCCCCAAGGCCCAGGGGCTTCCCTCCTGGACAGAGTGGCGTGCTAACAGTGCCTGGCCACAAGGTGGCCTCCCTGCTACCGTGAAGCTGTCACCACTCGAGACGGGATGCTGCAAGTCCTGAAGCCCAGGTTCCAGCGCACCCTGGGAAGCTCCGACCCCAGGAGCCCGTCGAGGTGCCCCAGGTGCCAGTGGCCTCTGTCACTGCTGACCTCCACTGACCTAGCCTGAAGCCGACCGCCTCCCGCCTCTCACACCCCATGAGAGCCCTGAGCTGGGCTGAAAAGCCCAGGTGCGCCCCCTCCTGGCCGCCCTGGGCCACAGCAACAATGGGGGAGCAAGGAGCAGTCAAGGAACAGGCCCCAGAAACCAGCCTACGCCACACAGCCTCACCGCTGCGTCTCCGCCTGTGCTGGAGCTGAAAGGTTTGACAGGTACCTGCAGCACTTTGCCATTCCTGTTCGTTTTGCAAAATACCTGACCATCTTCCCGTCCCCACGTCCACTGCATCTGTCCACGCTGTTCACACACTGGGCTGAGTGTAGAGCCCAGGCCTTGCATGTGCAGCTCCGTGACTTCTGTCAAGTGCATGCAACCGTGGGACTCCAGCTGCACAGGACACTCCCTGCACTCGACCCCTCCCGGGTCATCTGTTGTCCACCTGGTCCAGCACTATTAGGGTTTCAGCCCCCAGGGCCAGTCTGCATCTTCAGCCTCAGACAGCGAGACAGTGCAGCCTGGTCAGCCCGTCCTCTCTCGCCATCCCGCCTCACAGTCACTGAGTGACCCGTTCCGTTTCTCCAGCGTGTGCTATTCCCTCGTGAGGCTTCCTGCATGCTCTTGTCATTTGCCGGGCATGGGGTGTCTCCAGCTTAGGGCTGTACTCAACGCTCCGAACGTTCGGGAAGTCTGGCAGGCGTTTTCGTTTCTCTCGGGCTCGGTAACAGATTGCAGTTGTAGGCAGGTATGTCTACAGAAAGTGCCCAACACCTCTCCAAGGGGTTCTCCTCCTCCTGCAGTGAGCCAGCACCCCTTCGCTCCATATTTGCACCCACATTTTAACTGTGAATCTTTTCACTTGCCAGAGGGCGTGAGTGCTCACCAGACAGGGAGAGGGAGGAAGCACCCTCATCCCCCGGGTCTGTGGTCACTCCATAATCCCTTCACCACTTCTCCATCCTTGTGGGATCTGGAGCACACATGTGCACACACACACACACACACACAGGCGTATTTTCCCATCTACCAGGTCCTGGATTCGAACCACAGGGTCAACCATGTGGCATCTAGATACCACTAGGCCATGGGGTTGGCCCGTTAATTTAACAGCCATTTAGCGAGCATCAGGTCGTTTTCATTGTGATGAAGTATGCATTTCTCAGGGACCAGCAGTTAGCATAGTGGCTATATCACTGGAATCCCATGTAGTTGGCCGCAGTTCGAATCCTGGACCCGGTGGCTTAAACTCATGCCAGGCGCATGTGTGTGTGTGTGCCCAAAATCCCAAGAGGAGAATGGAGAAGGGATTGCGGCGTGGCCATCCCCCCCGGGGGGTGATTTCTCGCTTTCTGTCTGTCTCTGTCTGTCTGGTGAGCGCACGCGCCCTATAGCAAAAACATCTCCTCCCCACCAAAAAAAAGTTTGCATTTCTCTAGTAACAAATTATATTAAGTGTTTCAAACTGGCTATGTAGTTTCATAAAATGCCTCTTGTGCATTTGAAAATTGAGCTGTTCATTTTCTTTTTGATTTTTAGAACCTCTTATTTTGGAAAAAAATCCTTTGTCTGATACAGTACTGCAAATATTTTCTCCCCATTATGGGTTTTGTTTTCATTTTTCAACTTACATGTTTTTATTGGGCCTAATTCTATCAATATTTTGTGTTCAACATTTTGTCCTGTGCTCCTTTCTAGAATGTACAGCATTGCACTTAGGTCAATGAACCACATGGAATTAAATATGTGCAGTGGGGGGCCAGCACATGGCATGATGGTTACGTTGCTGGGCTCCCATATGGCCGACTGCAGTTCAGGTCCTGGACCCGGCGACTTGAAACTCAGAACAGGCCTGTGTGCCCAAAACCCTGAGAGTGGAGAAGAGATGGCGGCGTGGCCATGCCCCTACAAGGGGGTGAGTTCTTGCTTTCTGACTCTGCCTCTCCAGCAAGCCTATATCCTATCACAAAAATCTCTCTCAAAAAAAAGAACAAAAAGAAAAACAAAAACCTTGTCAGTGGGAGCCAGGTTGAGCTGCTCTTCCCATCCCCCTTCCCTTCTCTTTATCCATTTCGTCAAATACTTTTTCTACTGAACTGTTTGGGAATTTTTGTCTTTGTACAGTCAACTCTGTGTGTCTAGACTGTACATTCGTTGTACAGATCGACTATCTGTTCGTACGCCAGACCCTGCACCGCCCTAATTCATACAGTATTCCAGACCCTGCACCGCCCTAATTCGTACAGTATTCCAGTGAGGGGTAAAATTGCGTCACGTGGGCCTTTCGGGACACAAAATCAATACACAAAAAACTACTGCCTTTTTTTTTGAGAGAGAGAGATTTTTTGCTATTGGGTGGATGCACTCACTGGAGAGACAGAGAGACAGCAAGAAATCACCCCGCAGGGACGATGGCCACGCCACAGTCCCTTCTCCTCCATTGTCCTCTCAAGATTTTGGGCATGCCCAGTTTTAAGCCACTGGGCCCAGGACTTGAACCGTGATTGACTACATGGGAGTCCAGTGGCAAAACCATTATGCCACCTGCTGGTCCCCCTATAGCTTTTTTAATACATCAGCAATGAATGGACTCTTTTTCCTTTGCCATACCCCTCCTCCTGGCATTTTAGAGGCACGCGCACGAGCACCGTCATTTTCAAGCCACCAGGTCTGGGGCTGGGACTATGGTCAGCCATGCAGGAGTCTAGCAGGTCTGACCTTTTCAAAGGTATCCTGTTCTCCTTTGCATTTCCTGTGTTATGATCTCAATTTCTTTGTAAAAATGCTGTTAGGATTCAGACTGGGAGTAAATGGACTCTACGGGGTCACTTTGGAGAGAATTCACATCTTTACAGCATTTCACTCCCAACCCATGGACACTGCTTATTTGTATACTTATGCAGCTATATTATAGCTTCAGAATTAACTTTGAGTTTTTTGTGTACAGATCTTTCACGTCTTTCGTGTGTGTGTGTGTGTGTTTTATGCTATTGTAAATAGTATCTTAAAATTTTCCAGTAGGTAGAATAGTGAAATTATAGCCAGCCGGTGGCTTGGCGGCTAAGGCACTACTTGGAGCCTACATGGCCAACAGCGTGCTCTGAGTCCTGGACCCAGTGGTTTAAAGAACTCTAGGCATAGGTATGTGCATGCCCAGAACCCCAAAGGGAGGAATGGAGACAGGACAGTGGTGTGGCTGTCCCCCACGGGGAGCGCTTCCCCCTCCAGCGCCCACTGGCAGCATTCACCTATTGAGAGGATGTGGGCTGGCTCTGTGGCGTGGTGGTTCAGGCCACGGGATCCACGCAGTTTGAGTCCCAGACCTGGCAGCTTGAGAAGCACATCGGGTGCGTGTATGCATGCCCGACACCCAGGAAGAGGGAGACAGGGGACTGTGGTGTGGCCGTGCCTCAGGGCGGTTCTTCCTCCTCTCCCTTTCTCCCCCCGGGATTGTACGTAACCTCAAGCAAAACACACACACATGGGCACACACTCAGTGGCGGCCTTGCTACATTTTCCTTTTTGAAATTTATTTCTTCCACGGTCAAGACAGAGAGAGCACCTTTTGCCCAAAGCTGCCATCCCCTCCCCTGGGTCACGGGCCAGCACACGCCAGCATAGGCAGGTCCCCAGCCCTGACACGAGAACTTCCCAGGCTGCCTCGTGGAGCACCACGTTTTGCTCTGCACACCATCTGGCCCCAGATTTTACTTCAGTTTTCTAAATTAAGATCTGTGTGGACAGCCAATTCTGTCTGTGAACAAAGATGTCTCTCTCCCCGTTAAATCTTTATGCCTTCCTGTCTCTCACCCCTCGCCCTGGCCAGAACCCCGTGCACAGTGCTAAGGAGAGGGCAGGCCCGGCCGCGGGGCGTGCGCCGAGATGCCATGCCTCACACCCCACGGGCTGGGCCTGCAGGGGAGCCCGGACTGATCCCTGGCCCACGCTGAAGGCTGTGAGCTGTGCATCTGTGATCCAAACTGCTCTGGAAGGGGGGTCGGAGGACCACAGCCGAAGGCTGGACAGCAAACAGCGAGACCCTGCTGGAGAGCCAGCTTGGCGGTGGGACTGCTCCAGCCGGGACGTCCAGACAGAGGGTCACTCAGTGAGGTCATGTTTTTAAAAAGGGATGTGTGAAAGTGAACAGCCTTGCTTTGTTCCTGATCTCAGGAGAAAGTGCTCAACCTTTCACCTTTAACTGGACTTTGCTGTAGGCGTCCCATAGTTGATCTTTATCTGTATATAAAGCCTTTTCTCTGGCCAAGATTTTTTTTTCTTTTTCTAAAGATTTTTTTTCCATATGGTGCTCACCAGGAAGAGAGAGAGAAAGTGAGAAATCACCCCGCAGGGGGGTGGCCACACCACAATCCCTTCTCCATTCTCTCAGGATTTGGGGCACGTGCACACAGCGTGTTTTTCAAGCTGTCGGGTCCAGGATTCAAACCGTGGAGTAGACCATGTGGGATGGCGCGCCTTAACCACCGTGCCACCGGCTGACGCCATGTGGGCTGTCCGCATCATCCCCCTTGCTGTGCGGAAGCTGTCTAGTCTGGCGTCAGGGCACGCGTCCATTTCTGGAGTTGCCCATGCTTTAGGGTCTTGTTTAAGAAATCTTTGCCTGGAGCCAGCAGGTGGCGTGGTGGTTAAGGGCGGTTCAAGTCCCGGGCCTGGCGGCTTGCTTTCTCGCCTTCTCTTTTTCTTTCTTTCTCCCTCTCTGGTCAAATTAAAAATAAATAAAGTATAAAGAGTGGAGGAGTGGAGACCTGAGAGCAAGTGTTAGAGTGAAACGGCCACGGCCCGGCTTTGCAGATAATCTAGTTCTGCACAGCTCAGCTCTTCTCCAGCTAAGCAGGAGGCCAGGCCGCCCTGTGTGCATATGCTCACGCCGTGTAGGCGGACTTAGCTCCGACCTGGAGACCCCTGCCTGGAGAACACGCAGCATCACCCGGCAGCCTCCGCCCGAGGGAAAACGCCAAGACAGCGCCCCAACCAGGCTGCCGGCCCTGCGCTGGGGCATGCCCTCCTCAGCTGCCTGCTCTGACGGGGACAGCCCAGGCGATGAGAACGCGCTCGCCCACAGAGGGGCCATCTCAGCCTTGCTGGACATGAGGTGAGTGGAAGGTGGGGACCCCGCATCACCCTGGTAGCCAGTAGGCCTCTCAGCCTGTCTAAAGTAAAGGAATGGCAACCCCAGGTATGAGGCTGTAGGCAACACGAGGACATGGCGACCCGCTGGCTCTGTCGCTGGCCCTGGCCGTGGGCTCTGGAATGTTCAAGGCCCACAGGGACCTGCTGAGCAGAGGTTGTCACACGAGAAGTGGCCACGGCCCGAGGACACACGGGGACAGTTCCACCCAGGAGCCGGGAGGTCCGAGTGCGGGCACAGTGCTGGTCTCCTGGCCCATGGTGCATGCGCTCCAGACGGACTCCTCACCTGGCCCCTTCCCGGAGCTTCTTCCAGAAAGACTGGGGAGCGCGGGAGCGCCCCGAAGGGCTGGCAGCGACTGGCTCACTCGACTTTCCAGATGGCCACCTTGCCCTCCTCGCCGCCCGACCCGCTCAGCACGTAGCGGTCCTCAGCCGAGCACAGCGTCCTCACGGCGTCCGCATGTGCCACCAGCTCCTTGTCCACCGTCCTCCTCTCAGCGTCAATCACGTAGATCTTCCCTCTGGGCCTGCCCTGCGACAGCCCTCGGCCGCCCACCCAGACCTGCTGGGGAGGGAGGCATCGGCCGGTAAGGACAGCCTTGCCGGCACGAGGGGCCCAGGCCACCCCAAGCCCACATCCTTCCTGGCCGCCCGAGAGGTGGACCATCTGCAGGCGTGGAGGACGGGGACGCTGTGACTGGACCTGGAGACCGGGAGGAGGTGGAGCCGCAGCAGGGACCGCGAGGGCTGAGCTAGGCCAGCAGCCCGGCGGCCTCAGTCACTGCGCACCGACCGCGAGGCTGTAGCCGTGGACAGCGTCCGTCAGCCACACCTGGGTAGGTCCGCCGGCACCTCCACTGCGACCTCCCTTGCTGTGGCCCCTTCTCTCTCTTCCATCCCTCTTCTCCATCCTCCCCTCCCTTGCTGTGGCCCCTTCTCTCTTTTTTTTTTTTTCTGTTTTTTTGGTTTGCTATACGGCACGTTCACTCTCCAGGGGTGGGGAGCGAGAAGAGGGCAAGTGAGAAACCACCCCACGGGGATGCCCACACCGCCATCCCTCTTCTCCATCCTCCCCTCAGGACTTAGGGCACACACATGCATTTGGCATGTTTTCCAAGTCACCAAGGCTGGGATTCGCACTGCGCGACTGGCCATGTGGGGTCTAGCTGCCTTGGCCATGCCACCTGCCGGTGCCACCTCCTGAGGCCCCTCGTTCCTCCCATTTTCTCCCTTTGGGAGGGCAACGCCTCTTCTGCCGGTGCCCCCCACTGAATACAGGACAGGGCACTGGCTTCCCACACCTCAGGGTCCCAGCTGGAGAGGAGTCCCTTGCCCCCCATTCTGCGCTGCTGCCATTTCGATAAGACTCTGGGGAGTGGTAAGACCTGGGGCTGCTGGGATGGAGTGAGTGTGCTTTGCTCGTAGGGCAGATGTGAGCTTGGGGTCAGAGGGCAGACCACAGCGGCCTTGATACTGTCTCCCTCTACCCCACAGCCTTCCCAGCTCTCCGGACACGGGTGTGCCCAGAGAGCAGCTGGGGTATAACTGGCTAGGGCCTGGCTACACAGGTCAGCGTGTCCTCAGGGGAGAGCGCACAGACCAGGCCACGTGACGAAGGGAGACATGTCCACAGCCAAGGAACGGCCAGGGCTCTGTGCCCCAAGCCTAGAAGAAGCTCTTCACTGAACCCAGGGAGGACCAGGCCTGCGCCCCCAAGCCGCATCCCATGTGTCCAGCTGTGTGGCTCCCAGTCTCTCTCTGGCGAGAGCAGGTGCCCTCTAGCAAATTTAAAAGAAAGGAGAGAAGGGCACAGGCAGGCCAGGTGGGCGGGCGAGCCCACAAGGCCCGCTGACTCCCAGGGAGCAGGGCGAGGCCAGGGCGGAGAGCCTACGGAGCACTGGGGTGGCGCCCCTCACCTGTCTCTTCACCCGGAGCATGCAGCTGATCTCGGAGCAGTCCTGCAGGGGGAGCCGCTGCGGGGGCTGGGCCAGGTCCTGAAGGCTCCAGATGTAAACCTCGTTGTAGCCTGCACACGCCACCCAGAGCTGCTCGTGCTGAGAGAGACAGCGGCAGGTGTGGTGCAGCCCAGTGCCACACGCCTGCCTACCAGGCACACCGCCTGCCGCAGTACCTCGGGGAGGAGCTGGAAACCGAGGAAGGAGGCGCTCGTCCTGCCAAAACTCTCCTCGATCCTCAACTCCTGCCGCAGGGAGCCGCTGGTGGTCATGACCAGGATGCTGCTACGAGTGCCTGCAGGGATGTGGGGAGAGGGCCAGTCAGCGCTCGAACGCAAGGTGACATAGGCAGGGAGGGTGCAGGGGTGCAGCGGGGTGAGGGCCAGGCAGCGCGCTCAAACGCAAGGGTGAGACGGGCAGCGTGGGTGCAGGGGTGCAGCAGCTGCCGCCCCACCCAGGTGCCCTGATGCACCAGCACTGCTCCCCAGCTCGAGCGCGCCTCGTTTCCCACCTCAGCTCCCACCTGAGCGTCACTCTCCTGGCAGGAGCCTCGGGAACGCAGCACTCTTTCAAGGCTTCGCAAAACAGCGAGACCACACGGCCCCTAGGCGGAGCTTTCCTGCCCTGGTGGTCTGGGTCTCTGCCTAGTGGCCAGAGCTAAACCCCCAGGGTCCAGGCCGCCCCCTGCCTCAAGGTACATGGGACTCATCAGTCCCCTTCTGCCAGTCATGCGGCACACATCTGGCTGCAGAAACGCCGGCTGTGCACCATGGGAACGTGGGGTGGGAGACCCGGGCGTCTCCAGCAATTGCACGCACACTATGGCAAAAATCTCTCAAAAGAAAAAAAAAGAAAAAGAAAAATCATTGCTTGCTTAAGGAAAAAATATCTTAAAAATACAGTACCTGCGGGACCAGCAGATGGTGGGATAGTTACGTCACTGGGCTCCCATGCAGTCAACCACAGTACGAGTCCTGAACCAGCAGCTTAAACTCACGCCGGGCGTGTGTGCGTGCGTGCCCAGGATCCCGAGAGGAGAACAGAGAGAAGGGGCTGCAGTGTGGCCATCCCCCCGGGGGGAGATTTCTCGCCTTTTGTCTGTCTGTCTCTCCCTCTCCAGTGAGTACACATGCCCTATAGCAAAAATTTCTCTTGGAAAAAAAATACAGTGCATGGGGGCCAGCAAGCGGCACCGTGGTGAAGGTACTGGGTGCCTACATGGCTAACAGGTCTGAGTCCTGGACCCAGACGCTTGAGATGGCTGACTGAGGTCTGAGTCCTGGACCCAGACGCTTGAAACACACCAGGAGTGCGCACGCATGCCCAAGGAAGGCAGTGGCATGCGTGGGACCAGCACATGGCATGAGGGTTACATCGCTGGACTCCCATGTAGTCAACTGATTCGAGTCCTAGACCCAGTGGCTTAAAACACCCACGCATGCCCAGAATCCCGAGAAAAGACTGGAGGAGAAGGTATTGTGGTTGCAGCGTGGCCATCCCCCTGAAGGGGTGATCTCTTGCTTTCTCTCTCTCCATGGTGCCAGCTGAGTAAAGTCAAAAATAGAGTGCATACTATATGTAGCCTGCTGACAGAACGTTCTGGAAAAAACGCATGGTGACAGAGTTGAAACAGCTGTAGCCCCTGTAGTGGGGCATGATCTGAGGGTGCAGGGAGCCGTGAAGGGTGACGGGAACACGCCTTCTCTTGCCTCGTCCAGCAGCCACATGGCATGCAGGCCGTCAGGCCCCGCTCGCAGCCTGTCCCGTGCGGTTTTCTGGCAAATGTGCTACGCCTGGGAGAGCCGCGCCCAGGGTACCGCCCCTGACAGCCACCAGGAAGACCGAGTGCGGACCACGCACCCTGGGGTTCAGAGCAGCGCCAGCCCCAGCCCAGCGGCCTATGCCCCGGCATTCCCTGGCAAGGCCCATGAGGCCGGGGTGGGGCCAGGAGGGGCCACCTGGAGCAGGAGCAAGGCGGGAAGGCAGGGCCTGGCAGAGGCTGCGGGGCAGGAAAGGCGCAGAGGCTGAGGCAGAGCGAGCGGCAGCGGGGAGGGCAGCTCCCTCCGTGGCCCTCTCTTACAGCACCACAGGCGGCCGCTGTGCAGTCGGATGGACGTCAGGCCGCCGCGCGGCAGCTGGAAGCGGCCGGTCACCCGCAGCGTGCTCACGTTCCAGACCAGCACCGTCCCGTCCACGCTGCACGAGTAGACCTCACTGCAGGGACACGGGCACACGTTGGGTTCTGGTCCCTGGAAGCGCGCTGTGCATTAACCGGGGACAGCGTCATCGCTAGTGCGGTCCCACAGCACGGTGGCCAGTCCGTGCACACCACGAAAGCAGCGAGAAGGGGGCTTGGTTAAACCTCACCGGTTCCGCAGGACAAGGCGGCGGGGGGGCAGACACCTCCCGTGGCTGGGTGCCCCAGGAGGTGCTGGCGGTGACCCCCAGCTGGCCGCTCCCTGACCCCTAACCACACTGGCTGGACAGGGCCGCGGGGGGGCCGACCGCA